TTTCCTTATGGTCATTCGCTTGACATAACCCGTCTGTCAGAAAGAACGCGGACCCGAGCCAACCCGCCTTCAAGCCCCGAACCGTGCACAAGCTTGATCATCAGTACCGTGACAGGGCTGACGAGCGACGCCAGGGACGAGCACACGACTATGCCCAAGTGGAGGCTTTGGCAGAGGACTTTGAGAAGCGGAACGCAGACGAGGACCCGGAAACGGTGCGTTGTCACCACTTTCCCTTGCTATTCATATCGCCCCCCAACGGTATTGTTCAATGCGTCCCAAAATTAGCTCGAGGAGCAACGCAGGTTCCTTGGCGGCGACAGCGAGCACACCGTGCTCGTCAAGGGCCTCGACTATGCCCTCCTAGAACAGAACAAGGCCCGCCTCGCCGCAGAGCCCACCGGTGGCGACGACGAGCTCGAGCAGGCATTCGCCGAGGCTGCGTCCTCCTCCCACCATGTCCCCCAGAAACGCACGCGCGCAGACATCGTCCGAGAGCTGAAGAACAAGCGCCTCAAAGGCGAGCCTGCGTCCGGGGAGCCCGGTACACCCGCCGGCCCAGACGTCCCGATCGACGACGCCAGGGGGTCGGGCAAGTTCAAGCCCATCGGGTTCAAACCCATCGGCGCGGACGCGAAGCCGAAGAAGAAAAAGAAGGCCAACGAGGGAGGAGAGAAAGACGGCGCTCCGAAGAAGAAGAGAAGGAAGGCCGCCGACGACCACGACGGCGACGGCCCGCCAGGCGAAGCCGCACCAAAACTGCCGCCGATAGCGGCTGAACGCGCGCCCGCCGCTGCGCCCTCAAAGTTGGCGCCATCAGAGCCCACAGACGATGCCGACGACGACGACATCTTCGCCGGCGCGGGCGACTACACGGGCATCGAGGTCGGCGACGACGACAACGACAGCGACGAGGGGCCAAGCGACGAAGAGGGTGCAGCAATAGCCAGGGCAGCAGCACAGGAGACTTCAGACGGTGAGATCGCACCAGACTCGACGGCACCGCGCCGCCGCTGGGTCGACATCGACGAGCGCCCTGCGGCGGCGCCCCCGTCGCCACCAGAGCAGGCGGCGGTCGCCGGGTCCGAGTCGCAGCCAGTGGTGGTACCGCCGCAGCCCACAGAAGAAGCAGACGAAGACGGGCAGCCTGCGCGCCTGCTGCCGCTTGCGTCGAGCGCGGTGCCGAGCATCCGCGAGCTGCTCGCGATGGACGAGGCGCAGGAGCGCGAGGAGAAGCGGCGGGCGCGGAAGGAGAAGAAGAAGGGGAAGAAGGACAAGGGCGGGGACGACAGCGAGTAGTTCTCTCCCGGGGGCGTGGCGCACGCGCGCTGCTTTACGGGGCGGAAAATGTCACGTCGATTAGTTGTGCAAGGACAGGCTAGATATATGGGCGGGAGGCTGCTAGCTCTGTACTCCTTGCTACCGCTTTGCAATGGATGACGCGACTGCCGCTCTTACTGGAGTCCTCCCCTCGGCCGCCGTGAGTGGGTTCTTTGGCGCAAGCTGGAAACTCGGTCCTCGCGCGTAGTGGCAATATGTAGAGCAGTTTAAAAAGAAGTGCCGCTGCGCAACGCCGAGCGGCGATCTGGGAGATCGTCACCGGTGGTGTGCACGATAGCGCATCGCGTGGGCCCTGAGTGGCGTGGCGTCGAGACGTCGACGCACGCCAAGCACCGGGAGCCCCGCTGAGAGCAGCCACACCCGCTCCTCCTCCCCCGCACGCCACGCAGTTCCCGTCGACCAAGTCCAGCTGCGGAATCGGGCCGAGCGTGCTAACTCGCGTTCGCCTCCACACACACACTCGCTCACATCTACACACCAATTACTGCATGCCAACCACTTCAGGCCAGAAGCTGGGTGTTTGCAAAGGTTGTTAAGCAGAACGCGAGTCAGGGGTTCGACGATCCCAAGCAGTGTCTGCGAAAAGCGGAAGCGACGCTCTGGGCCTGCAGTCCGCTGTGCCCATCTGCAGCGAGCTGTTTGAAGTGCTTAGTAAGGCTGCCCTCGGGCAGCGACGAAAAGGAGCCCGACAGCGTTGGGGGCGTGCAAAGTCAGCCGCAGCCGCGACGCGTCAGTCGTGGCGTGCGTCGCCCGGATGTACGAGGACGGGACGTGTGATTTCAGGCAGCGACGAAAGGCGTGGCCGGTGCCGGGTATCTGTCGTCCGGATGTACGAGGACGGGACTTGTGATTTCGTACGTGAGGAAGGAGAAAAGGCGCGGACATCTTGGCGCGACCGGTTACAACTTTTCGAGTTTCAGCTCTGTACGGGGCAGGCCCGCTCTCTCTCTGCAAAGGTAGCAAAAGACAGCCGGGAGTCGATGCCGTCTAGCGGCATGGGTGCTGCAGGAGAGACACGGTTACTGAGAGGCAGGCTGCGGGGAGGGGACACGCACCGCTTCTTCATCTCGCTCCACTAGTTCATCTCGCGCAGCTCGTCGGTGCGGAGCGTCACGCTCAGCCGAGTCAGAGTTCGACGATATCAGGGAGCACACTGGCGACAGCGGAGACAGCACTTTGGGTCTGCTATTCCTGTACCTATCTGCAGTGAGCCGTTGGAGTGTTCAGTAAGGCTGCTCAGACAGCGACGGAAGGCGCGGCGTGTCAGTCATGGCGTGGCCGATGCCGGGTGTCCGCCGTCCAGATGTGCGAGAATAGGCACGCGAGACGAGACTTGTTGATTTCGGACGGCTTTCAGTAGCATTGAGTGCAGCATGATGCGGGGAAGCGCGATGTAAAATATGCAAAATGCAGCTCAGATTGAATAGTAGTACTCGGACATCTGGACGCGAACGGTCACGACTTTTCGGGTTTCGGCTCTGCACGGGACAGGCCTGCTCTCTGCGCAAAGGTCGCGAAGGATAGCCGGGGGTCGATGTCGTCTAGCGACCTGAAGGCGCCAAAGGGGAGGGAGGCATGAGAGGCGGGCTGCGGGGACACGGTGAGGAGGAGATACGCACCGCCTCTTCATCTCGCTCCGCCAGGTTATCTCGCGCAGCTCGTCGGTGCGGAGCGTCGCGCACAACGTGCCCAGGGCCAGCGCGACGAAGGCCTCGACGATGATCTGTGTGTGGAACGGCGGGAGTGTCAGAGCTTGGAAGGTGGTGCGCGACTAGGCTGGACGCACATCGGCAGGCAGGGCTCCCTCCGGTCTGCCAAGGGCCTTCAAGTGGGACAAGTCTAGAGCACAGCGTGAGCTTCCTCTTACACGCATCGATGGCCGCGGCTGGACGTACGCTCGTATGTCGAGAAGGCAGCTGAGCGATCCGAGTCAGTACCAGCGTTTGCGCGTGCAACACGCAAACGCGACACGCACCATGGAGAATAGCGATACAACCCAGTATCAACAGCACGTCTCCGACCATCTTGGGCACTCTTTTCCCTTCCCACCAGGCCGTGAGTAGTGTGCAGACGACGCAAAGGGTACGTGGGCGGTGACGAAGTGGTACAGCAGTAAGCGTTTCCGGGCGGCGCTTCTGTATCTTGCTCTGAACCTTCATTCAAATCCGCGTTTGGTCCGCGCAGCTTTTCGGACGCACGTTCGCGGTCCCGGACATACCACTGGAAAACCTTGTGCAAGGCTTTCTGCACCCTGCGATGTCACGCGTGGCGAAGGCGACTCTGCTGGGCTCACTGGTCTTCACCGTCGGGATCGTCTATACGGTGCACTTCATGCAGCGGCAAGAGTCCGAGGTGCGCCGGGATGTTCTTACTTCGAACGCGCGGGAACCTGATCATGTTGAACCAATAGACTATGTTCAAAGGCGTCCTGCGCGATGACGAGCGGCGAAGAGAGAAGATGCAGCAGCGGCAGGCCGAACTTGAGGAGTCGCAGCGTAAACGTGTGTTATACGAACAAGTGCAGCACGTTCCGCATACGGACACGCCATCGAGTCCAGGTTCTTGACGCGCTCTCGAGAGAAGTACACAAGGTGCATCTTCTGCTGCCTGTAGAACCTCTCATAAATGTCAGGTGTTAGACAGATGTCATCTAGAACCCCCACTCTTGTATTGGGCTGCGACCGGGCCTGCGCAGATACCCCCCAATATATGCCGTACAATTCTCTTACTATGCGACACGATGAACGTGCCATTGTTTCGTGAGTGCTGCCGCTGGCTTGACCTTCGGGGCCTCCGTTCGAATCCGCGGACCCTAGCCAGACCCTTGTCGGTGTGGCTGAGAGCTCTGATCACGCAAGCTCATTTCCGTCGCCAATACTATGCGATCTACCTGGCGTCTTCAGTCGGAAGTACAGTTGTTTGCAAGACTTCGTTCCTTAGTTCCGGGGGCCGGGAGCTTGCTGCGTGAGTACGACGCCCACCGTCTTTTTGAACTTGTCTCTGAAAACGCTAGCTCTCCCGCACTCCAGCAGAAAAAAACCTATCGTATCGCTCTCAGCGCCCTTCGTCTTGAATATAATCGCCAGTTCCTGGCTATATATCACGCGTCTGGCGGGACGCTCTCAGCGTCCAACGGGAGGCCTCCCGTCGCGCGTCGCGGTCACGCGTCAAAGGCGATCTTCTGGGGTCTCGGCATACAGCTTGAGCCGCCGGAGCAGGCGCCTGACCAGTGAAAACATTTGATTCGGACGAGACATGGACTCACATTTTCTTCCCCTTAAGGTCGTCTCATGCACCCGGCTAGAGCGTACAACCCGCCCACAGGCACGCCCTGAGTCATGCCGCTGCCGACGAATCCCGCCACAGAGAACGTCCTGGGCACCATAGGTATGTCTCGCGCCCCAGTGGGTGCTCTCCTCGCCGCTCGCTGACGGAGCTGAACTAGGGACGATCTGCTGGACTGTGCAGTTGATACCTCAGCTGTGGAAGAGTTGGAGGGAGAAGTCGACGGATGGTTTGTCGCACTGGCTAGTGTACGTCTCTACTTTATACCACGCTACCACTACTAACGTCTGTGCAGTCTCGTGTGGGGAGTAGCCGGTGCCTTCCTTGGTGTCTATGTTATCGTTCAGAGCTTGAGCATACCACTTATTGTACAACCACAAGCCTTCGGCATTCTCTCCTTGATATCTTGGGGGCAGGTAAACAAACGATATCAATCCGCCGGTGGTCGTGTGCTCAATGTCGTGGCTATCAGTGTCTATATTATGGTCAACGACGCCCTTTTACGATCGCTATATCAGCTTTCCTTGCCGTTACCGCTGTAACCGCAGGGTTTGAAGCCGGGATGGTCTATGCTATCAGGGTTGGTTTCTAGCTTCTCCACTTGTAAGCCGTCGTTGTTAACCCCAACACATTAGCCAGCATACAATGCTGGGAATCATACACCGGTAGAATTTTTTGGTATTTTCAGTTCTGTAATCATAGCTCTGGCATTGGCGTGAGTCTGTCGAGTATTCTGTTGACTGCCTACTGATCTATGCAGACCTCAATATTACGAGATCTATCGTCGGCGCGAAGTCGTCGGCATTTCTCTGATATTCATGGTTGTAGACTGCTCAGGTGGGGTCTTCAGCACGCTGTCATTGGTATTTGCGAAGAAGTTCGATGTCATCGCTGCCGTGACGTATCTGCTGGTTGTCGTATGTGTCTCTCGCACCTTCGGTGCTGTGCAGAGATCTAACCGAGCTCTCTTGAAGGTCTTGGATGGAACGGTACTCTTGCTCGCGGCGATTCTGAATCCTAGAGCGAGGCGGAAGCGGGCTCGGGAGGCTGCCGCCAACGCAGTCGCCGCGGAAACAATTTCTTCTACGTAGGTCTCTCAAACTATCCTATCAGCTTTATTGATTAGTTTATACGCCCTTTAGCATAACTATCGCGCCTGTGGAAAATTCAGATGAAGAGAAGGCAGCTTACAGAGAAGAAAGAGATGGCATTCTCCCCTGATATCGACACACGGGCCTTAAAATATTTTGCTCCTAAAGCCTCTTGCTCTCTCCCGGATTTTTATAGGGGTTTTCACAGGACTAAATCTGCGCATCTTATTTCCATCTATCTGTTCATTGCACTACGACAATACTACTATGTGCAGCGAATGGCCGTTGAGTACTGAGTACTGAGTCTAGATCTCATCGTCCGTCACTATTGTATATATATGGTCCAAAAAGGCACATGAAACTTCGTGGCGTTTCGTTCGTTCGCCCACCGGAGTCACTACAGTAAGCGACAACGCTAGTAGATAGCCATTTCCAGCGCATGCCTGCCAATGCTGCTGCCGAGAATGTGCTCGGCACAATGGGTGCGGCTCTTTCGAGTACTCACAGCGGTCTTTTGGGCTGAAGTTTCGGATTGGGATGCCCAGGGACCGTATGCTGGATGATCCAGCTCCTGCCGCAGATCTGGAAGAGCTGGCGGGAGAAGTCCACAGAGGGCCTGGCGGACTACCTAGTGTGAGTACTGTATCGTTCACCCGCACCAATACTCGTGCACTGATGAGCATGATCAGCCTGTTGTGGAGCATCTCGGCATGGTTTCTCGGAGTGTACGCTATCGTCCAGGACTTGAATGTCCCGCTCATCGTCCAGCCGCAAGTCTTTGGCTTCCTGGCATTGGTGTCGTGGGCACAAGTATGTTCCCATCATGTCACTAGGTTGGCGAGAAGTCCCTAAACCCGTCTGGCTGTCCAGTGCCAGTACTATGCCCGAAAACGATCCCTCAAAGTCTGCCTCGCCCTGTTTGCAGGGCTTTTACTGCTGCAGGCAGGCTTCGAGGTCGGCATGGTGTACGCCGTCCGTGTGCGTTCTTCTCAATTTCACCTCATAGCACACCCTCTGACCCTAGATGCCAGCCCTCCTTCCGCGCAGGCAATCTACGCGCGACGCAGTTCTTCGGGATCATGGCCTCTGTGCTACTCTCCCTTGGCCTCCTGTAAGCACTCATTTGCTCCTCCTTCATTACGCAACTCACAAAGGAATTATACCTAGCCCTCAGTACTACGAAATCTACAGATACCGCGAGGTGTTCGGGATCTCCATCTCGTTCATGGCAATCGACTTGTTGGGCGGAGTCTTCAGTGACCTCTCGCTCGTGTTCAAGTCCAGGTTCGATGTTATTGCGGGTGTTGCGTATTCGCTTGTTGTAGTGAGTGCTGCCAAGTGTAGGAAGTGAACGGCAACGACTGACCAGCGTGCAGGTCTTGGATGGGATTGTCATCATACTTGCCCTCATACTCAACCCGCTGGCACGAAAGCGACGCCGACGGCGTGAAGTGGAGTTGTCTTCAGCTCGAGGAGAAATTGCTACGGCAGCATCCCAGGCCGACGAGGACACAGAAGTAGAGAGAGACCGAGAAAAGCGTCCCTCGGAGGGGGAACGTGTCATAGATTGAGGGATATCCGAATGAGCGGTTCCAGAGCATCACTAGAATTATAACGACAGTAGATGAAAGGGCCCAAAATAAAATCTACAGAGAAACACTAGGGCCGGTTGGCTCGGCTGGCCCGTCTCGAGGCGTTACCTCCAGGCGTGAACACCTGGTCTTCATCGTGCGACTCCCCTCCCCCGCTTCCGCTCGCGCTCGTGCTCTCTGCGTCGGTGCTTCCCTTGGTGAGTGCGCCGGCCGCGAGCTCGTCCTCGTCAAAGAGGACCTCGTCGAGCTCATCATCTGCGCCCTTGGAGTTAGCGGGGTTCAGCGCGGATGGCTTACGGGCGCTCTTGTTGCCGCGGCGAGCGCGTCCCGGAGCGCTGACGAAATCGGCGAAGCTGGAGCCGCTTGGTGTGTGGGCGTGGGCAGACGTGGGCGGAGGACCACGTACAGGCAGGAGGTAAAAGTCTTCGGCATCTTCCTCTTCGTCAGGCAGCGTCGTCAAACCTGCGTAGGGCGAAGATGTTGGGCGTGATCTTGGAAGCGTACGGTACGAGCCCTTGCGGAGGTGAGCGGCGTAGGAGTAGATGAGCAGCGCGAAGTAGAACTGACGGACATGTTGTGAGGGCGGTACAAGAAGTGAGACATTCACGCACCTTGCTGAGCCAGCCCAGAATGATCACAGTCGCTGCAAGCCCTTTCTCCTCGTTCCAGAGCACCCCAGCTGCAGCAGCACGCTCCGCGTCAGTCATGTTGGTGGCGCCTCCGCCCCCCGCCTCCATGATTTCTCTCTGTGCTGCCGACGAAATGTCGCGTCGGCCGTCATGTGGGGTATAAATCCACCATACGACGGCAAAGAAGACCGTCCACGCGGTAGAGATGATGTGGTCTGCGAAGAACACATGTGCAAAATAGAGCGTGTTCTTTGGGTCTTCCTGCAATGATTACACTTGGTTGAATGTTTGCTTCTCGACGGGGGAAAGACGCACCTGTCCAACAGCTCTCAAGCCCCATGCAAAGGCAATAAGGCCAAGCACAGAGTAGATGTATAAGCTGAGCTGAGCCGCGGTCCCACCCGCGCCCGTCAACACTGAGATGAGCCCGTAGACACCCGCGACTTTATTGAGGACCTAAAGCGAGATGTCAAGATCGTGCGCACAACCGACAGCCTGCACACTGACGGCGAACAGGATTGCACAGGTGACACCAGTCTTGATGTCGTAGTAGCCCAGGAACGAGGCGAAGGGCCCGAGCCGCCACTCTGGTCGGAGCGTGAGCTTCATTGGGGTACCGCGTTGAGCGTACGCCGGATAAAGTTCACGTAGCGTTGGACGTCGTTAGATTCCCGGTGGCCAAGGTCGAAAGTTGTGGACGATGTGGTGGTGGTCGTGAGCGAGCCCGGCGTGAGTGAGCACTATGCGGGTTGATCGCGGAAATTCTGCGCCCGGTCCGCCATCCACAGATCCACTCTTGCTTTCCACCACGACAACATCTCCAGCAAAAGCTTGCCTGCATCCTTGGTCATCTTTATTTCTTGCTACTTAAACGTATTTCGGCGTACACTAGCTCTCAGACTCTCTCGCCACATACGCTTACAACAGTCCGGACTATCCGCCTCGTCGCCAAAATCTTCACGCTTGAACTCGTCCCTCGCTGATCACACCTATGGCCGGCTACTTCTCCAACCACTCACAATCTCGCTTCCTCGCCAACTCTAACAATGGCACAACGGCGACCCAGACGTCGGAAGCGCAGGCACAGAATCCCCCCACCACGCCAGGGCGTGTACGCGCCCCGTCCTCCCGTCACTTCTCGACGTCACTCTCCGGCTCGGGAGATGAAAAACCTTCTGTGAAGGAGAAGAGTTCAGGCACGGGAGGTCCGAACGGTACCGCGAGCGTACACCCTCTGCGCAATACGTATGTTCGTACCCCTTCACGCGTGAAGAGCGCGTCATGGCTCTAACTTGCCTCTTGTAGATGGGTCTTTTGGTTTCGCCAGCAGCGAGCTCCAGGTAACAAAATAACGAACTACGAGGAGGGCATCAAGAAGGTATCCTCGTTCAGTTCGGTGCGTCGTTCCCTATTCCCAAGTTGAGGGATGTTATTGACCGAAACCGTAGGTCGAGTCGTTCTGGTCATTATGGACGCACATAAACCCTCCCTCGAGTCTGCTCCCGACAACAGACTATTTGCTCTTCCACTCAGGCATTCGCCGACCTGTGTGGGAGGACCCACTTAATCTCTCGGGGGGCAAGTGGATCATACGTCTCCGCAAGGGTGTGGCCGACCGACTATGGGAGGACCTCGTGCTCGCTATCATTGGCGATCAGTTCGCGGAATGTGAGCCAGCGATGGCACCTGAGGAGCGGGATGAGAATGGTCAGGAGCAGTGGCCTGAAATTTGCGGGTGCACGATAAGTGTGCGCCAGAATGAGGATATTATTTCGATATGGAACCGCTATGAGTCGGATGCGAAGGTCAAGGAGAGGATCAAGTGAGTGTATATAGATCTGACCGCAGGAGAACCAGCTTCCTTATGACATGGTACAGTCAAACGATTCGAAGAGCCCTCAACCTTCCACCATCCACAAACATGGAGTACAAGTCTAACAATGGTGCATCTCATCGCTTTGAACGGTGGGATGATACTGATAATTGTCTGGTTCTGCTCAGATTCAATGCAAGATAAGTCAAGTTTCCGCGTCCCTGCGGCTGCCGACCGGACGCCACTGTCATGATTTGCGAGCATCTCTTTATACTGTCTCAATAGCATGAACATGAGCCTGCAAGGCCTCTTGGTGTAGCCTGGAAAATGTCTTAACTCATGTAGCTTTACTGTACGGGTTGTGATCTAAGCTCTAGGTCACGCACCCCTTCTCAGTCTTGAGAACCTCCCGTGGCTCCCTCTCTTCTTCGTATGTGACCTCCCCGACTGCGCTGAGGAAGCCTCTGGCTGCGTGCTGCTCGTTTTTCCCTTCTACCATGGTCCCTTGCTTCATGCTCGGCTCCAACAGGCGCGTTACTTTGCTGGGTTGTTGCTTACCTCAAACCCGACTACTCAGTTTTCCACATCATCAGGCCTTAGTTGACTGGGCGACGGCCGCTGCTTCGCGCCGCTACCTTAAGCTGCTTTACCTAACATCAATATTTACTGGCAGTCCCTGCACTGTCAGGCGTTCTTGCCTCGAATCACGAATAGATCGGCACGTCCAAAGAGTTTATATACGAATGATATTGCTTGCACGATAATAACTTCGCTAGCTGTTGCGACCGGCTGGCCCGTGTATAAGAGCCCAGCGTAAGTATTGACAGTGACAGATGTCAACTGAGTGTATCTAAGAAGACCGCCCACTGTCACTCGGCAATTTCCGTGAAGTTTTGATGGGACTTTCTTGCAGACGCGCACAGCCCGCAACAGTTTCTTCATCCGCCCCACATTGTCGTCGTCGAGGACATTCTGCTCGCTAGTCTTCACAGCGTGCACATCCCTCCCACTCCACAGCAAGCACCACCGAATGTTCCAATAGTCCTGCAACTCAACTATTTCACCTAATACATTCCCACTGTCCCTGACTCTCGACATGAACGACGTGCCCCTCTCGCGACACCATGCAGGCTGGACAGCCTACGATTCCCGCGACGAAAAGCGCCTCGGACAGGACCCAAACTGGCTGGCCAGCTTTGCTCCTTCGTCTTATCGCCAGGCACTCCCTGTCTACAGTGACGCCGGGCGGTCATCATCCCCGTTATATCGGTTGCGAAAAGCCATCGCCCGCAAGCTTGCTCTCCTAAACCGCAGTGCATACCCTCCCCGCAGATCCATGCTCACAAGGCAGCAGCCAGCGAACGCTTCGTGGATGGCGCTCCCCAGCGCAGACACACTACGCTTCGTACTCCTCTGCGTCCTCTGGTACTCTTCCTCTGCGCTTTCCTCCAATACAGGGAAGGTTATCCTGAACCAATTCAAGTACCCGGTCACCCTCACTTTCATCCAGTTTGGCTTTGTGGCCTTGTTCTGTCTGCTCTTCATGAGTCCGGCAGTGCGGTTCAGCAGACTCCGACAGCCGACCAAGGCAATCCTACGCGACACACTCCCTATGGGCTGCTTCCAGGTCGGTGGGCACATCTTCTCGAGTATGGCAATTTCTCGTATCCCCGTTAGCACTGTCCACACTATCAAGGTGAGGTCGCGGTAGACTTTCTGATAGATTGTCGCTGAACCAGCGGTTTCTAGGCGCTTTCACCGCTGTTCACCGTCGCGACATACGCGCTTTTGTTCGGCGTATCCTACAGTCCGCGAACGTATATCTCTCTAATCCCGCTTACAATCGGCGTTATGCTGGCATGCAGCTTCGATGTCTCAGTATCAAACGCCGTTGGCCTTCTCTGCGCGTTCGGTTCCGCCCTCGTATTCGTATCATCCAACATTTTCTTCAAGAAGATAATGCCGTCAACGGGGTCCCATGGCGCGGGATCTGGCGCCGCGCACAAGCTCGATAAAGTCAACTTGCTCTTCTATTCGTCAAGTATGGCGTTCATCCTCATGGTTCCTATCTGGCTATGGACAGACCTGCCACGGTTGCTCTCGTCACCCTCCACGCACGTTGCCCATCCGTCTCATCCTGTGCCTGCGCACAACAGTATCACCTTGTACTTCCTTGCGAACGGCACTGTGCACTTCCTGCAGAACGTGCTCGCTTTCGTCATATTAGCGCGCACCTCTCCAGTCACGTACAGTATCGCGTCGTTGGTCAAGCGCGTTGCGGTTATCTGTGCCGCCGTCGTCTGGTTTGCACAGCGCGTACATCCGGTGCAGGGCTTGGGCATTTGCATGACTTTTGGCGGGCTCTACTTGTACAACAAGGCGGTCAAGAAAGGAGACGTGGATAGAGGGGAGAGGAAGGTTCGGCGGATCGAGAAGGCGTGGGAGGGAGAGCTGCCGCTCTCAAAGGACGAGGTGGACAGCGAGACGGAGCGTATGGAAGTCGTCCCGGCACAGGTGCAGGTGCAGCAGGTGCAGCAGGTGAATGCCCACGCGCGCTCACATCCGCCGACCCGGCCGCCGTTCTCGACGTCATACTCGCAGGCGCATCCACACGGCCACCCAAACTTGCACATCACCATCGACCCGCGCACACCCATTCACGCTAAGCACGAGGAGCGCGGGCGCGATACGTTACCGACGCAGTCATACCCGTCGCCACCGTCATCGCTCGACTCGCCGCCGGCGAGCAGCGCGCTCGAGCAGCACGCTTGGCCAGTGAAGAAGCGGCGAGGCACAATTAATTACGGGTACAGCCACGGTCACGGGCATGGAAGCGAAGTGAGCGCGAGCACGAACTTTGCAGAGCAGCCCCTCGTGGCGGCTGTGGCTGCGTGAGGACGTCATTCGGACTTTCGCACGGACGCGTACCTTATCCTATGTATGACGGCAAGGTGCTGTGATACCCGTTTCTTGGGTTTTGTAGCACTCTTGGCTTACGCTTTATCTCTTTCAATACTTTCGCTGCTGCTGTCTCTTTGCTTATTATCCGCACATAGACTTTTCATCCTCCAACAAGTGAAATATATCGAGAATAATTATGGATGGCTTTGCGCTATAGTAACACGCGTACGCTCGGTCGGGACCCCTGCGAGGTGGCGGCTAGCTGGTCCCGCGAAGGGAGCTGAGGACGCCTCACCTCCTGGAATACACGTACCGAGACCCCTGATGTCTACCTATCCTTCAGCTATGTCATTGCGGCGTACAGTGGAGGGGCTCCTTGCCTTGTCTGGTGTACTCTTGGGTGTGCTGGGGGTTCAGGCCACCTGAGACGAAACCCCTATAGGCCTGCAAGCCATCGTGGCGAGATGAGTCGGGAAGTGTTGCACTGCAACAAGAACAATATATCATCAGAGACAAAAGAGAGCTCTTTTTGCAGGGGCGACGGTAGAAAGGGAGAAGAGACAGAAAATGGAGGGGCGAGTCTTGGGGTTGTGCTTGAACCGGTAGGCCAAAGCGATGGAGGCGTCTTATGGGCGCTTGTGGCAAGCCCGCGCATGCACGACGGAGTCTGGACAGCGTGCCTAACTCTCTCCCCTCCACCACGTTCTGCTGCCTCACATTCACGATATCGCTCTGTCTGTAGACTTAGACATCCAATCTAGCATTATACTCATCGACCACGCTCATCGTGACATATCATGGACACTGACGCATCAGGCTCAGGAGGGTGGCGGTTCGCACAATGTTTCGGTGACAAAGGCGAGGTCGAGGATATCACGGAGGGTATGTCTGCCCCGTCGTACGCGCTGAACGACATGCGCTAGGAACGTCCTTCTTCATGGAACGCTGATGGCACTCTCCCCCACAGCGGATATCATATCAACGGTGGAATTCGACTCGACAGGAAACTACCTCGCTACTGGTGACAAGGGTGGTCGCGTGGTCTTGTTCGAGCGTAATGAAATGGTCGGTCTGGTCTTCCATCACCCTAAGTACACTAACAAACAGGATCGTACGGCCTAATAACCAGAAAAAAGGCTGTGAATACAAGTTCTACACCGAGTTCCAATCGCACGAGCCAGAATTCGATTACCTCAAGTCTCTTGAAATCGAGGAGAAGATCAACAAGATCAAGTGGTGTAAACGACAGAACGCTGCACACTTCTTACTCTCCACCAATGGTACGCGCTCACTGCACCGGGTTCGGGTCGCCCTGGCTGTCTGTTGTGCTGACTCCTACTAGACAAGACCATCAAGCTCTGGAAGGTGTTCGAGAGATCGCTCCGCGTCGTATCAGAGTCAAACCTCCTGGACGGCCAGCGGCCTATTGCGCCGCCAACGCACTCCACACAGCTCAAGTTGCCTCGCATGCAACAGCAAGACAACATTGTGGCCGCGGTCCCCCGTAAGGTGTATTCAAACGCGCACGCGTACCACATCCACTCCATCTCTGTCAACTCGGACCAGGAGACGTATATCTCGGCCGATGACCTGCGGGTTAACCTTTGGAACCTGAATATATCAGACCAGTCTTTCAGTACGTGCTTACTATGATTTATAATGATCGCAGCGCCTGACTACAGACAGATATTGTGGACATCAAGCCCGCGAACATGGAAGAGCTTACAGAGGTCATCACTGCAGCCCAGTTCCACCCAACGCAGTGCAATGTGTTTATGTATTCGAGCTCAAAGAGCAACATCAAGCTTGCGGATATGCGCGACTCGGCGCTCTGCGATCGACATGCAAAGAGTACGTGTCTAGACTCCGCTCTATCCTCGCCGCTAACCCACCTTTCGTCATGCAGTGTTTGAGGAGGAAGAGGACCCTTCAAACCGATCCTTCTTCTCCGAAATCATTTCGTCGATCTCTGACGTCGAGTTTAGTCACGATGGGCGTTACATCCTTTCGCGCGACTACCTGTCCCTGAAAATCTGGGACATTAACATGGAGTCGAAACCCGTCAAGACCATCCCCATACATGACCATTTGCGAGGCAAGCTCTGCGACCTGTATGAGAACGATTGCATATTCGACAAGTTCGAGTGTATATGGGGTGGTGACGACAAGTATTTTCATTTCGCTTCTGTCCTTTACGTCAACTTACGCGCTGCGCTCTAGACACATTTTGACTGGATCATATCACAACTATTTCCGGATATACGATGTTGACACCCTCAATGACGTCGTGCTCCAGGCGGACAAATCGGCGTTCAAGGCGAAGAAGATGGGTGGGCCTATGCCCGGCAACAAAATGGGCATGAAGAATGGCAGGCCGGGTAGCTTGAGGGAAACCATGGCGCTGGATACGTTGGATTTCAATAAGAAGATCCTGCATGCCAGTTGGCATCCACGGGAGAACACAATTGCGGTACGCCAGAACGCTCTACCTAGTCACTATCTATTGACTATGTATATCGCAGATTGCCGCTACGAACAACCTGTTCCTGTACAGCGCGGCATGAGTCTCTCGTCGTGCTTCGTTAGATCGCTGTCGGCCCTCCCCTTCACACCCGCGTACCTTTAACCTCATTCTTTATTACCGACCACGACCGCTTGCGGTGTAGCGGCATACGACCCGAATGAGAGATTCAGCTGGCAAGGTTGACAAGACGTTTAACGACCGACTCACGAACGGCTTCGAGGACCCTCACTAACGATGTACCCACTTTCGCCACCACTCCCCCACGCTCCTTCGTCCTCCTTTGTCTATTGAACCCTCAACTGGCCACTTTCCTTGCTACTCTTTGTCCTCCTCGCGCCCTTCCCGTTCCGCGCTGGTTCTCGGCCCTGTCGTCGTTGTCGCTTGTCGTCATCATTCTAGTCTAGCACACGCTGATATCGTCCCACTTCGTATCCTATTCTCTCCGTACAATACTTCCTCCATTTCGCATTCCTCACGAGAGACAATCCCAACCAATCGTTTTATCCCACTTACTCTTCTAATTTCTTCGTCACCGTGTCCTTCCGCACCTCATTCTCGCTCCCTTCGTTCCACTCCCCTCACTCTCGCTACCGCTCATTGCGATAATACGCTGCTTGCAAGGAGATGGGTCGTTTTGGATGGAGAGGAGGCCAAAGGCCAGGACACTCGTTGATATTCGTTGTTGAAGAGAAATGTACAGCAGTCCGGGTGCTCTAGTACTAGTGGTTTTCTCAGAAGAAGTAAACAAAGAAGTGAATCATGTAAATATATCAATCTCGAAACTTCTCTCTACGTCGTCTGCCTGAGGAGGTTAAGCTCGTCGTGGCGACTGGCGACGCCGTGGTGTGCGCCGTGCGGCGCTAGCATTCGAATACGCGCGAGGTACTGACGTTCACCCTGCTCCAGGCGACGCGGCGCCACATCAGGCGCAGCAGCAGCCAAGGCCACTGGATGTGGCACAGCACGAAGAACGGCACTGGATCCGTCCAATCCCATATGCCGTCGCGCTCCCGACCGGTGAAGAACAGCCAGAGGAGCCCGAGGACATTCTCGCCCGGCGGAGGAGATGTGGTGGGGTCGGTTGGGTCGGTTGGGTAGATCGTTGAGAGGAGTTGTGGGTGGATGGCTGCACAGATGCGTCGGGGTAGCAGCCGTGCAATCGTGAGCGGAAAGGCGTGTGCAAGCCAGGAGCGCGGGGCGGTGCCCGGGGCTGGACGGGCGACCGGGTTTTCGGTCGGAGGCGTAATGCCCAAGTAATGCAACGCCAAGGTAGGATGTTCCGAGAACAGTGCGACCGCTGTGTGCGTGCGCTGAGAGCAAGGATGGTGAATGAATACGACGATGGTGATACGGATGATGACTTACCACGTTACACTCCAGGACATATATCACGTCACTCTCGATGATGAAGTCGAAGCTGAAGTGTCCCGTAAGGGCATACTGCTGGTCCGTCTTTCCCTGGCTTGCGAGCTTCGCCTTATAGCGGTCCAAGAATTGCTGCGTCCATTCCTCGAGACGCTCGCCCACCTTTTTTTCTTGCACCGAGAGGTTGCGCACGTCTCCGTAACGCATAAGAAGCTGGTTGCTGCGACATGCTACGAACGCGACGAGTTTTCCGTCGCGAGCAGCGACATGCGTGCAGTACTCGTGTCCGAAGAGGAACTTCTGGAGCAGGAATGGGTAGTTTTCGCTGAGAGGGGTGGGCACGCTCGACAGATGTCTCTCCGTCTCTTCGCGTGTGGCGAGCGGGAACAGTGTGAAGTCGTCGCGTCCAAGATCGTCTAAGGAAAGCGACTTCAGGAGGTACTTGTACCCCTTGGCAAGGGTCTCAGGCGAGTGCAGGAAGTTGACGGCGTCTTGCACGGACGTGACCTTCTTGCTCTCGGGGACCGGATAGCCGAGTTCGATACACAGCTCCTCGAACTGGTCCTTCCAGTGAAGTGTCTCGCAGACCTCTGGAAGGGGAATGAACGGCTCGCAGAAGCGGGTATCCCTCTTGTCCTGCGGTTGAGCGATGATCTCTGCCGCCGCATCGGAGTCGATCATCGTTGCGTGCACGCTGGAGCACGGCACCCATGCGTCGACGTGCCAGAGCGTGATGATACTTTGGATCACGACGGCGTACGCGCGAGGGGTGAGCCTGGGGTCTGGGAGGAGACGAAAGTGGTCGACTGCGCGCGAAAACCGTGCACAAGTGAGCCTGCCCCAGTTTGCTTCTTCTGCGAGGATGACTCTACACCCCGCCTTCTTGAACGCACGGCAGAGCGTCAACGCCTTGTTGGCTCGCGCTCCCGTGATTAAGACTGTCTTGGCTGGTTGGCTTGAGCTATGACGAGAAGAATATCCCAGAGAGGTGCCCGTCACCGCGGTGGAGATATAGAACACCAAAACAACTATGAACGTAAGCGAGGAAGCGAGGAAAGACAGGCAAAGCAGCAGGAACGTTGCCACGTTGGACTGTGCGAGCGACGGCCGCGCCTTCCGCGAGACCACCATCGCGACTCGGTTGGGTCAGAGTCCGCCTCCTGTCTATGAGAGTTAGAGTGACGGCTCAGGATATGCCGCCTTGCAGGGGTCTTATACACGGCTCCTGAATCAAAACTGACGGTAAATTAGCTAAGGTTATCCACGCAGACGTGGGTAAAATACGTACAAAAGTCAATCGTGTCTCCAGAAATGGGGTTACCTCCACTGTTCGTGTGACCAGCATGCATCGCAAACAGGGGATTGCAATACTTTGACAGGCTCGAACCAGCTGCCTTGGGTACATATTCCGTGCTTCACACATGGATATAACTGCGGAATAGGCTGGGGACGAAAGCAGCTGATACGGCGCTTATCGCGAGCGTCCAGAACTATTTGGTCTTTCTGACAAAGACCCGCCACCTTTACAGGATGTCGGGAATCATTCTGCTCGTGTAGTAAGTCTTTGATGACCAGCACTCGAGTCCAAGAAAGCCTTGCAAAGATCCAGTGATATTCGTGGAGATTTTGTTTTAGTCATCGCGGTCGCGGGCAGCGGCCAACAATTACTGTACTTTTATGACCATACCGGATGAAAGTGCCCAAAATGAGTTTTTCCGACAACTCGCCAAAATCGCCATAAATCGAGAGAATATTATTGGCGGTGTCCGCGGAAAAGCGGTGTGACGTGTGACATCCGGTACGGTCGTAAAAGTACAGTATTGCTGAACGTTTCTATTTCATTCATTCATTCCTTTTCACTTGTTACACAGGTTATGGAGATAGTGAGACAGCATAGGAGCGTATGGTGGTAATCGAGGTCCATGATGACAAGGGCAAGACAAAGAGCCTAAGCGACGACACTGCTGGCGATCTTGTCACCACAGCTGACGGCGGGGATGTCAGCTGCTCCGTTCGCCACAAGGCTATCAGTAGTCGCCTGAACTGCGCCAGCTTTGACAGCAGCAGCGAGCACGGCAGCAGCTTCATAGCCGTTAACGACCCTGTTTCCGTTCGTGGCAGCCTTGCGGCGGAGAATCTCGGGATCCATGCCGAGGTCACTGTAGTCGACATAAGCCTATAACGAGAGATTATCAGCAAGAGCGGGGGCTGGATGCCACATAATACTCACCTCCTTCCCTGTACCGCCATTGTACTTCTCTTTCATGAGAGCTTTATGGATCTTGAGAGTATCGAAGAGCTCCTGATACGTGGCGTCATTGATGAAGCGGCAAGTGCCATACGGACTTGGGACCGCAAAGCGTTGCTTGTTGTCCCTGGTCTTCCTACAGGCGGTGCATGAGCACTGTCAGCAGTCCGTTCAACCAGTCTATTTGTTATCGCTTACAAGATGGTCTCGGTACCGGCGACGATCATGTCGTCGGTGAAGAGCTCGTGATCCATCGACAGTCCAACGCGGTGAGAGAGCAAGTGGTACTCGTCTCTCTGTTCCTCGGTGAGGTATCCTCGTTTCCAAGCGACTGTAATGAAATAAGCCATGTCGATGTTGATCTATAGCGCATGAGTGACGGCGGCCATGTAACGCTCCACTGAAGACTTACGGCGTGTCCATGGCGAAGCGGAACAATCGAAGTGAGCTCGAGAGTAGGCGAGATGCTGTGACCAAAGGCAATGACTCTGTCGAGACCAATCTCGTGTAGATTAGGAGATTCGAGCTGGAAGTCTTTAGCAGGCAATTGCAAATGTGGAGACACCAGAGACATACGTCGAGCATGACCTTGATACCGCGCCAGCAGATCTCGTCTGCAATCTCCTTGAGCTCCGGGCTGGCGCCATCAGCACGACCGAAACGGGTCTTGATCAGCGTCTCGCCGTTTTCCACGAGCAGATCCCAAGTGCGCTTGTCTGCACAGGAAGAGATCTTCATCAGCTCTGTAGAGAAGTCGTTAGCCGAGGTCTTTGTCCATTTATTCGAACAAACTCGCCAGCAAAACCGTTGCGGACCTGCCCCTCTGGCAGGGTACGAAGCATGTTGAAGTCTAGGAAGGTCATCATGGGTGCATGGTAGGCACCGAGGCGGTTCTTAAGGTTGCCGTGGTTGATACCGACTATGAGCAGGGATTAATGGTGGGACTACGGCGACAGCTCAGCATAGCGTACCCTTGATGGAGACGGAGGCATCGATGAGACCAATGAGGGTGGTCGGCACCCGGATAAAGTTCGTCGTGCGGCGGTAGGATGCACAAGCATAACCGGTGACGTCGGTGCACAAGCTGCGAGGACATGTTAGCACGAACGGCAAGGAAGGTCGGCAGCTTACGCACCCTCCGCCAACGACCAGGACGGGCTCCTTGCGGACGAGGCCAAATTCATTCATGGCATCCACAATGGACAGCATCGTGGTCATGGTCTTGTTCTTTTCACCGCCAGCCATGATGAAGGTCGTCAGTAGGATGTCGTGATGCTTGAAGTACGCCTCCCATTGCGTGGAATGAAAGCCAGCGACAGTGGAGTCGCTGACCAGAAGCACGCGCTTCCATGGCTTGTAGATCTTGGCGAGGTGGCTGTGCTTGGTGTCGAAGATGTTATCGACGAACTGGAAGCCTGAATTAGCAACGTCAGTGAAAATGTGTAGGACGAGGGCGAAGTTAGGACGAACCGTAGCTAATCTGCTCCACGCCGGAGACAGCGAAGCCGTTGGACGTAGTCTGAACGGTAGCTTTGAGGTCACTCATGGCAAGAAGGGACGGTGTGGGATGCTGGGGGCACAGGAGGCGCAGGAAGCGTAGTTATGAGTCTCTAGCGGGCCCAAGTTAGCTTTTATATCGATGAGCAGTGACCGGTACCACGACCAAGTGACCTGGCCAGCTAGAGTACTGTTAAGCCCGTAAATCTTGCCCACCGGTTGCCTCATCGTCTACAGCAGTGCACCCACGACAAGTTCATTTAGAAGGACCCTATTTCTTGGGAGCGATCGTCTCCGCCCGCCAGATGGGTTCATGAGCGTTGAAACCTGTGTACGGATACCAAGGATCGCGTTTGCATATCCAAAGCAGAAATGTGCTGTCAGTGGTAGTTGCAGGAACGTGGAATCGAAGTGATTGAAGATATTCTCTAGACCCAGTGGACAAAATGGCGCTCGTCACAACACGCAATTCGTGCCGCCGGTTGAAATGCGAATAGGCGGAGGAAGCAAGCTTGCCGAAGTATGGAACACGCGTTGCATAGGCGATTCGAAAAGCGCAGGCAGAGTCGTACTGGACGAGTAGAGGGGATATCTTCGGTATGTGCAGTAGTCTTCTTTGTGAGATATTGGTAAATTTTTGGCGGTTTGCCGTTCAGTTAAGCTGCGAGTAGATGGACCATCCTCCAATCAATGAGATAGATGGTCAGGCAATGACATGGTATGCCGTTCCTGCTCGTTCCAGACGACCCGAGACAGAACATACGAGCGCCTCTCCAGATGCCTTGGCACAGCGGTCGGGAGTTGAGTGCGGCGGTATCGACCCACATATCCGTAGATATCCGACAGCAGCAAAAGCAGTAACTGGAGAGCGGCTGAACCACGACCGTGGATAAAGACTGGCGATGGGATATGCATACATCCTGAAATGAACGCATTCAGCGAACGAATGACCTGCTAGGGCTCGATGTCCCCTTGCGTAATGGCAATGACAATCAACTGTAGAGTACACATGAAGTGTTCGATATACTCACCGCGATGAGAATCGGACAACTGCGAGTCTGCGGAAGTAAATAAGGTCCCGTCTAGATGAGGCATGCGGGAACCGGTGTTGACTCGCCTGGAGTATGGGAGAAAGCGTGCGAGACGAAACGCGATTCCTTGCGTCGATAGTCACGAGGGACCACTCTCGAGCGCCATTTCGAAAGGTAATCTGAGAGCCAAAGTGGCTCCTCGACACGGACAGTGACCGCGATGCCGGCATCGACTCCCATGCCCCCTCCCACGGTCAATATAAGAGGCGATCGGGACGACGTTTGAAATACTGAGAAGGAAAATAGATCCTTGGACTGCCTCGGCTCAGGAAGGATAGATAACTCACTCACCCTAAAATGGAAGGGCTGTTCCTAAACGTCTGGTTTGTCCTAGCAATATCTCACGGCTGGTGGCGTTCACTGCCGCTCCTTGACGTGAGGCTGTCTGCATCGAATATCTACACATCAGAAGATGCCGATCGTAAAGAGCAGTCCTGTAGACCCAGCTCCGACTAGTGCACTTGCCGAGGCGTTTGGGTGGACCTGGTGACCGCTACGAACAATTGGGCGGGGGTCGCGACACGACAGTAAAAGCCGACGTAGCTCGAATACCACCTATGGAACAGGTGAAAGGTTCAACGATGCACCGTGTGGGAGCGAAGATCAATGAGACGGCCCACCAGGATATCGTCGTAGTACGATGGTTGCCTTGCAGGTTACGATAACGTACGCGAAGCAGAAACTGCAAGGCGGCTGCTTATGATGACGATAGGTGGTCTCGACTCTGGTGATGAGGAATATGGCCATACGAAGGCGATCATGCAAAACTGAGGAACGGAGATGCATGCACAGTCCACGGACGACGCAGTGAACGAGCTACTGTCAACAAGCACGGAGGACAGCGTGTCCTTGGTGAAGACGAGAATGAGATGGCCAACTCATCGAAATCAGCTGGACACTACACCACATTGACACTGTCGTTGTGGCCAGATGAAACATACCTGAACAATGAAAGTCCCAGCAGGCAATCCTCGACGAACACAGCAGACGACAGCGACGCGTATGAGACGAGATGTACGAGATGCACAAATCACAGTAGCCTTTGCGGCTACTCTGAGAGTATACCATACGCATGCCAGGACTGACGAGCGTGCGTCGCACTCGATGAGCGATAGCGCATACAATCTGAGAGGAAGGAAAAGAGAATAGAGTAAACGATATTCGCGTTATCGGGGAGGGAAATGCATTGGAACTTGCCTTTCCGCAGCTACAACGCTGTATATGCAATGAACACGAGATGTGCTCATAACGATCATGGAATGCGGGAAGTAGGCATGACGACAGGCAACCGTGAACAAGGCAATGCAAAATTATACCTTGATACCGAACTTGAGGAATCGCGAGATCTTGAAGCTTGAAGGGTCTCAAGGCCGGTGAACTTGCATTCACGAGAAATACGACTGTTCGAAAGAACAGGCAACTCTACAGGCAGCAGAGAACACGAAGCCCGCTCTCCATCGCCGGTTTCCGAGAACATGACAAAATTGCCGAACGGTGCCCAGTAATCCAACAAAGCTGCAAAAGCTAACAACAATCCTCTCCACTATACAGCGCGAGAGCAAGAAGGGCAGAGATGAGAGTCCAAGACAAGCTGGAAAGCTCGGCGCTTCCGCCGTAGCCCTTATGAGCGTGCGAACTGCTGACAAAACAGAGATCTCCTGCTAAAGCAAGTGTTGTGGTTCTGTCCAGGACGAGACAACTTCTTGCACCCTACATCTTGCACTGTGTATTCTACAAGACCGCACTTGTAATATAAATCAATTATATACAATTCTCTGAGGTGCTCACGAGCCCGTCCGCTATACTGCGTAGGATCGGACCTTCGAGAACCAGAATGGTCGGTCGTTCTTCAGAGCGAGCGGTGTAGCCTCGCCACTGGCAAGCGAGACAGAATCGTACGCGCGGAAGTCGAGCCTGTTCCATCTCCCTAGAGGCCGGGACCGCAACTCGAGGATCATCTGGAAAGAATAGCGCATCGAATCGCCACTGGGATTCATGAGGTCTGTGATATACACAGTGGTCCCCTCGAGCCGCCAGTTGCCGATGAAGAAGCCCTTAAATACTGCGTGAGGTATGACACATCGGAAATATGGATGAGCTCCTCACCTTCATACGCAATGTCGGCTTGAGTAAGGGAATGGCCTGCTGTGGCGAGACCTCCTCGTTTGTGAGGAGCGAGAGGACTTCTCCGTTAGGGTAGAACCGGCTGCGAACAGTAAGGATTTAGACTGCAGTGAAGGTGAAAATGATATACTCACAGGTATCGATGGTAAGTGATCAAATGGCTAACCTATAGCAAAGTTGATTGCCGAGATGGACGATGAACAGGGACACATGCGTACGTTTACCCAAGCATTCTCGCTCAATCCATCGCGGCTACAGGTGCTTATCAGCATACCGAGAAAAGAAAATATATTTCGATAAAGTGCTACATACATGTAATGGCAGACAGCGATGTACACGCCATCAAGTCGAACGCGAGGATGCTCAATATAGACCCGCCGGAAGTCACCCATATATTTCTCCACCAGTTCTGTGATATCTTCCTTTTCGCCAATCTGTGGTGACTGGTAGATGGAAAGTACGAAACGCCTAAGCGAATTGAAAAGTAAGCGTAGAATATATTCTTCAAAACCGATGGCGCACCTCCACAGCGAAGAATCTAAGGTGAGCACTCGAGCTTTTCGGTTGACTAGCGCAAATCGTTCAAGTGAGGTAGTATTCAGAAACTCGAGGATATGCACGAGAAGCTCGTCTGGAAGAGTCTGAAGATAAACGGGCTCCTTTTCATCTTCTGGCTCGAATTTAATGTCGAGCAATCCCCAAGGAGCCATAATGCCAGCCAAAGTGCCTGTTACGACGCCGTGGTGAGCAGGCAGAGTCACAGCAATGCCACCGGAAGAATCCGCCGAGACGTGCAGCTTGTCCATGTCGTAGGTAAGGCGCACCATGTCGACCGAGGCCCTATGCTGTTCGCGCTGGGCGTGAGCGAAAGCGGCGGCATCGATGGACTTCATGTGCAGAGAGTGGTACTCTGACCTCTCGTACAGCCTTGCGACGTCTTCGTGTATCCGGAAGGCTTGTCTATACAGTCTGAGAGCCTCATCTAGCTCGCTACGCTGCTCATGAGCCACAGCCTTCTCGTATATCTCGAGTGCTTTGGTGGCTGAAGGAGACAGCGAGGCAGTGGGGCCGGGGCGTAACAAAGAGCCGGCCGCATCGCTCGCGGCTGGGATGGATGGGATGGGCTGAGCAGAGCGTCGAGGAGCGACTGTGCCCGCGGTATCTTGCTTTGCGGTCTCTAAGGTGCCAGCTGATTGTACTTGGGCAGACGACCCAGCCTGAGTGGATCCAGCGCGCTTCCTTCGCATATCGAGGTCGGCTTTCCATTCCTCTCTGAACTTAGCGAGCTCTTCAGCGGTAGATTCATTCGTCTCGGCCTCCTTTAAATCTGTGGTCTGTGGCTTTCGCCGGGCCCTAGCAAACGAACCGATACATGAGACACCACAACAGTTTGCCAAGCCTGAGATTCATTACAAAGCTTCGACAGCATCGTCATCGTCGTCTGCTACAATCTCCTCGTCGTCTTCGATATCATCATCGTCGCCAGCTGCATTGACAATCTCAGGGTTTCTCGAGGTCTTCGACTGATCTCCTTCTGGGGGCTCCTTCACCTTCGAGACGGGCATCTATGACACTTGGTGGTATCAAAGAGAGTCACAGCCCGGCTGATTCCAATACAGTATGTCATCGGAGCATAGAAACTTCTGTATCTGAGTAAGTACCGGTTATTGCAACTAAGCTTACCGTGCTTCAGCGAAGCTTCTTGTATGCATTCAAAGGCGCTGTTACAAACAAGCGCCCTCTGGCGGCACCAGCGCACCGAGTCTGCGTTCGCACACAGCTCCCTTCTGTCTCAGCCGTCCTCGTCTTTCTTCTCGTCCGTGCACATATACCCGGAATGGAGAGCAATAAAGACGAGGCAATCAAGTGCCTCGCAATAGCGCAGAAGCACCGCAGCGCGGGGAATCTCGCCTCGGCCAAGCGGTTCTGCCAGAAGTCCTTGAACCTGTTTACGACGCCAGAGGGCACGAAGCTGCTCGAGCTCGTAGAGACAGAGATGGCAGACCAGCCGCCCGCCTCCGAGTCTTCCTCTTCATCGGGTGCTGCGGGCCCAAGCACGGCATTCTCATCATCGGCGGAGACGCACCCATCGTCATCAGGCACTCGTCATCGACACACGGAGTCGAGTTCACAAGCGAATGGAAAGGCTAATGGGTCTGCGAAGACGGAGGAGAAGAAGAGGGACTACACGCCCGAGCAAGCGGCGCTCGTGAAGCGGATACAGGCGTGCAAGGTGACAGAGTACTATGAGATAATGTCGCTGAAGAGAGACTGCGAGGAGGCCGAGGTTAAGAAGGCTTATAGAAAGGTGCGTCTGTAACAACTATTATATTCACTGGGCAACTGACCTCGCCCCTGCGCAGCTTGCCCTAGCATTGCACCCAGACAAAAATGGGGCACCAGGAGCCGACGAAGCATTCAAGTGTGCGTCCTTCTCTCGCGAGCCCGTCTCTATTCTAAGGACTAGAGCTAAAGTTATGTCTAGTGGTCTCCAAAGCGTTTCAAGTTCTGTCTGGTGGGTTATTCCCACTCATCCGGTATCCGGACGCCGGAGTTGCTGATCACTATCTTTGGTAGACCCACAAAAGAAGGCGGCATACGACCAGTACGGGTCTGACCCTGAGTCACGCTTCGGCGGACAGCCGTCCTTCTCGCGAGCATCGTCTGCAGGGACACCGTTCGCACAAGGCTTCGATGGAGAGCTGAGTCCGGAGGATCTGTTTAACATGTTCTTTGGCGGAGGTATGGGGCCTGGCGGGTCATTCGGTGGTGGACCCAGTGAGCCCCGGTTCCGTACACACCACCTCGCCTTACTGTACTTACACCCGTACCAGTGTTCACAGCATCCTTTGGACCTGGCGGTTTCCGCACTACGCGGGTACGAACGAACACGCAACAGCAACGTCAGAACGCCGAACCTCGCTCTATCTTTGTTCAGCTCCTCCCTCTGTTCATTCTCTTTGGCTTTTCACTCCTCAATGCCCTACCGAGCCTGTTTGGCACGCCACCCACTCCTGATCCGAGATTCTCCTTCGCGGCGACGCCTCGGTACAACGTCGAGCGGACGACGAACGGCTTGGGCATCAAGTACCATGTCAACGCGGCGGAGTTCTCGGGGCACCCTATTGCCGCTGAGCTCGCGCGCAGTGACAGAAAACCTGGTACTGAGCTGAAGAGGTTTGAGTCGAATGTGGAGAGGACTTACACTTCAGACCTCTATGCTAAGTGCCAGAGGAGCGTGGATCACAAAGAGCGGCGGAAAAACCAGGAGGTGGGCATGTTTGGCATCGGCACGGACTGGGAGAAGGTGCGCCGAATAGATGCAGAGCCGATCGAGAGCTGCGAGGAGTTACGAAGGCTGGGCCTGCTACAGTGAAGCGTCCATCGTAATTTATTATGTTCTCATCCTTTCACACCTTTCATGCACAGTCTTTGATGTATATGCTGAAGGATGTATCTTGGATATATCTCGCGTGGACAGGAATAGACACAATTTAATGGCTCGATGCACAACTCCAGTCATTCCAATGGGCTCGCCGTGTCTACTGGTCGTTCGCTTCGCTTCAGCGTAATAGAATAGAATTATTGAGACCGCGAGTGCTAGCATGGAGCAAATAGTGTTCTACTGCTTGCGGGTGTGTACATTGTGTCTGCTATGCGATTTAAATGTCGCCAGACTGACGCTTGGCGCGCTCGAGCTTGAGGTAGTACTCCTCCTGGCGTTGGACTGCGAAGCACGCATCAGCATCCCAGCCCTTACTCGCTAACTACGCTGTGTAAGGCAAAGAAAAAATTGCCTACTACTCACCGGACTTCAAGTGGACACCATACCTACAGAAGTAGTCGCGGTCAGCATACCTCGTGTGGTGACAATGTCACGGCTTCACTCACCAGAAAGCATAGCCAGCGGAGATGCCCAGGCCAAGGGCACAAGAGAAGTCGAGCCAGAAACGCTTCCTGAGTTTGCCGGTGATGGGTGCAATGGCCATTTTCGAGGAGGTGGCTTGAGCAACGGTAGGGTTGTGGACGAGGTCGTCGGGCGGACACTCGGACGAATGCGGCATGGGCGTTTGTATCGAGACAAATAGCAGCAAATAAAACGCGGGATTTCGAGGCTGCTCTCGTCCTGCCCAGACGACTCGTCATGAACGTGAACGTCCAACGTCCAACGCTCATCTTTCTGCGAGAACAGTAGAAAAGATTTTATCTACTGTACAAATGCCGTGCGAACGTGCACTATCTCATAGAGTCAGGTGGTATTCGCCCGTGTCAATCCTTGTCGAAATGGCGACGGCTTTTCCTGGCTTGTAAGTCATTGAGGGAGTCCAGGACTAATTGGCCTCTGGTATAGCAATTCCCAACTGAAGTCCCTTCTATTCAATTAACAATGGATACTATCTAGTGCATATCAGGCTTTGTCTCTCCCGAAGCTGCGTGGCATCACCCATAAAAGCGGCTGTAGATGAGCTTCATTGCCACTGAACTCTCCCCCTTTCGAGCTCGAAAGCATGACAAGCGCAGCATGTCCGTCGTATTTAACATGTACTGCAGCTCAGGCTCAAGAATTTAATGAGCAAAATCCTCACAACATTGAATCACTTAATCAGCTCCTGGAACATCGTGCACTCTCACAGCCCAGTGTCTGCGTTGCAGGTTTTCCCGAATACGACCACTCACAGGACAAATGGAGCTTCCTGACATTCAGTAAGTACCTAGTCATCGTCTAGCACTAAGATTATTGTGCATGTTCCCACCACCCCAGCTTTTTACTCCCTTCTCTCCGCCAGCAACTGCGTCGCTCTCTATTATGTAGATCACACGACAATGTCTATCCGAGCCAAGGGAGACAAGGCTGACAGAATCATTGCGCTTCTGTCTCCAAGTTGCGCCGACTTCCTCATAACCCTGTTTGCCGCTTTACGACTAGGTTATGGAGTTCTACTGCTGGCGTGAGTTCCAAGCACGGCTGTGTAATCTTCTACTTAAATTGGCCTATTTTAGACCCCAGAACACAACAGAGGCTATAACCCACCTTTGTCGTGCTGCTTCGGCTAGTCACATCATCTGTCACTCTTCGCTGCTGGGACAAGGTCAGAAAGCGAACGGAGGCTCAACAGAGATCACACTTGTACCTATGGCGTCCCGGTCAGCGTGGGGGTACAAAGCGTCAGAGGCTACTCTTCTTGCTACTACGTTGAATCCGGCAGATGAAAGAGACTTAACCGCTCTTGTCATGCACACTAGTGGATCGACCGGCACGCCCAAGGTTTGCAGAGTTTGAGTACTCATGCGCATAGTGCTCATACCGCGACGTTTATTCTCAGCCGATATATCATCCACATCGCATCTGGACGACGGCAATTCCGTGTATGCCGGGTCAGCCTGCCTTCACTACAACCCCGCTTTTCCACGTAAGCAGAATTTCATGGAACATAGAACTACCCGCACTGAAGAAATCTGTTGTCAGGGAGGCAGTGCGGACTTATTTCGATCCATGAATGCCCTTTCGACGCTTTACCTCTTTTCTTCAGCGTACCCGATGACAGTGTCGAACATCCTCGGAGCACTCTCAGTCTGTCCCGATGTTCGGGCGTTCCTATCCGTTCCCTACATTCTGAAGATGCTCGCCGAAAGCTCAGAGGGTCTCAAGATGTTGCAGACCATGGATCTAGTGAGCACTGGCGGTGCGCCGCTACCAGAGGCTCGTAAGCGTGCAGTTGCTACTTGTGTGTGGGAACTGCTCACCCCACATGTATGCCAGTGGGCAACGATATGGTGCGGCAAGGTGTCAAGCTTGTCAGTCGCCTCGGTTCCAGCGAATGTGGATGTAAGTGTCGATCTAATGAGTGCTCCATCTGGTACTGATTCATCTGCTACAGTCCTCATGAGCTCTCACCGCGATTATGAGAACGACAAAGAATGGGCCTGGCTGCGCAACAACGGCTTTGGCCTGAAATTTCTGCGTTTTGTGCCTGTCGCTGATTCCGAAGAAGAGAACATGTATGAGCTAGTTGTTGATAAAGAGTGGTCGACAAGGGTAAGCGTTCCCCCTTGTCTGTCTGCAATCACCGACGTTTCATCCTCTAGGTTGTCTCAAATCGGCCAGACAGCAGCTTCGCCACCGGTGATTTGTATGCTAAGCATCTGACTATGCCGGATACGTGGCGGTACCATGGGCGGACCGATGACATCGTTGTTCTGGTGGGTAATTCCTGCTTGCTGCACCACGAGCTCGCTCAGCTGCTCTGCTCAGATAACAGGCAAGAAAGCGTCAGCGAACTCTCTTGAGACCGCTCTTCGTGCCTGTCCGGCCGTCTCTGAAGCCGTCGTCTTTGGAACGGAGCGTCCCGCTCTCGGTGCCATCATCCTTCCCGCCTCTTCTTCCACTAGCAGGCAAGAAATTCTCGAACAAGTACACTTCGTCAACGATTCCAGCACGCCCTACGCACGTATACCGGACCAGCTCGTAATCATCCTAGGCGCTTCCGCCGCTGCTGACATACCCAAGACCAGCAAGGGGTCCGTTATCAGACCGAAAGCGTTGCAGGCGTTTGCCACCCTCATCGAAGAGGCCTATAAGCGTTTGGACAGTAGCAGTGCCGAACCAGAGGATAATGTCGACTGCAGAGTTGATACCTCACTCAGCGGAGAGGCAGATGTGAAAACATACATCAGGGACTGCGTGCTGAAGGCTCTTCGGCAGCGACAACACTCCCAGGCCAGCGCTGATGGGCCCTCGGACACAAGTGATGGGGATGATCTCTTCAACGCAGGCATTGATTCCGTTCAAGCCGTAGTGGTTCGAAGTTCTTTGCAAAAGGTTCATGTCTTCTCATCTCTCTCCGGACGTGTCTGACGCGCAATCTTGCCATTAGTTGATAGCAGAGTCTGGGAATAATCTCTCAAGTAATGTCGTGTTCGAACACCCATCTATTGCGAGGTAAATTTGACCCTTATCATCGAGCTCTGAAACTAATATTGGCCTCTTCCTCCCGATGTGTAGATTAACCAAACATATTCTCGACCTTCGCAGTGGAATTGTCTCCACGCCCGCCAGTGAGGTAACAGAAGAAGGCCAGCATCGACTGATGCGCCAGCTGCTCCAAAGATACTCTTTTCCTGTGGACGCGGTTTCGAGTCCCATTTCTGAGGAACGATACGGTGACGACCCAGACGAAGATGGCATCGTTGTAAGCGCCACACATTGTGTCAACTGCTGCGATACACCTGAACCCCTCACCTATTAGATTATTACTGGCGTTACTGGGTCGCTCGGCGTGCATATCATGATGAGATACCTAACAATGACCGGTCTTCGGGTCTTCGCACTGGTTCGGGCTTCCGACGGCTCGCACGCCCTCCGTCGCATCGTCGATAACATGAAACATCGTGATGATCTCGACGCTTTCGAGGAGCTCCAACATCGGGTAACGGCCCTTGCAGCTAATCTCAGCGAAGAGCGTTTGGGATTGCGAGAGGATGTCTTCCAGGAGATGGTCGAAAAGACTGTTGCCGTGATCCATGTGCGTTCTACATTCGCCACAGCAGCTCCTTATTGGCTAAATGCCCTCATAGGTAGCTTGGCCGGTCAACTTTGCATTGAACCTTGAGAGCTTCGAGCCAGCACTTAGAGGTATGCTCCGATATGCTGAACGGCGCACGTCTCACGCATCTATTCTAGGCCTGCGACACCTGCTAGATTTAACCTCCCGCTCCCAACGAGGAGCTCGCCTCGTCTTCTGTTCCTCAACATCTGCCGCACTCAACTCCGTGGACGAGGCGAACGTCGTCTACGAGCGTCTCCCGGAAAGCGAAAGCGCTGCTGCGCCTGTGGGCTACGCGCGGTCGAAATGGGTCGCTGAACACCTGTGCCAGAACGCGCACGAGACCGTTTTGGCAGGTCGTGTGGCCGTCGCACGCATAGGGCAGCTGTGCGGCGATACTGAAGACGGAATCTGGAACGAGAGCGAGGCATGGCCACTGCTCATTGCTAGTTTGCGGTACACGGGATGCCTCCCGACACTAGCGAACGAGGTTCGTCGCAATTCTGGCCCTATCCTGTGCGAGCTTTGACGCGAATATTCTTCTCAGAAATTATCACTGCTGCCTTTCGACATCGCAGCTCGAGCCATCATGCTTATTGCGAATTTCTCTATCACTTCACTTCCCCGGGAGTTCTCAGCGAATGGTGACTTACCCATTGCCCACGTCTTGAATCCTAACAAGCTTCTTTGGAATGACCTGTTATCCTGCCTCTCCTCCTCTGGCCTCTCCTTCCAGAAGGTAGCCCCTACCGAATGGATGTCTCGCCTAAGGGCTTTACAAGCTGAAGACCGCCTGGATCCTGCCACCGCTCGTCTCCTAGACCTGTGGCAAGAGGTACGCT